TGCAGGGGAGCCATGGCTGAGAGGGAGTGTTGTGGTTGAGGGGAAACTGTGGCTGAGGGACAGTCATGGCCGAGGAGGTGACGCGGGTGAGGGAGAGTCGTGGCTGAGGAGCAGTACTGACCGAGGGAGAGCTGCAGCTGACATGGCTGAGAGGGAGTCACGGCTGAGGGAATCTTAGGAAAGAGGGGGTCTCATGGCTGAGGAGAGCAGGCAGCGCAAGTTTGAAAAACAAAGGTTACTGAACCAGTTGTGCTCGTGGCTGAGCGCTGCGAGCACCGCTCGGGGCGGCAGCCGGTACCGAYAGAAACGGGCACAGCAGGCGCCCCTCCGCGCCTTCCCGCCGGCCCTGAGGCGGAGGGGCCGCGGCTGCAGCGCCCTGGAGCGCGGAGGGCGGGGCGGCCGGACTCATTTCGCGGCCGACCGGGGCTGATCGTGGCCGCCCCAGCACCGCCTCCTTCCCTCCCCTCCCCTCTCTCCTCCCCTCTCCGCTCTCCTCCCGCCCCGCGGAGGCGGAGGGTCTGGGGCGCAGCGCCGTGCGTGTTCCCGCAGCTCCGTGGCCGCGCTTCCCCGCTCCACTCCAGCCGCCTTCCATCGGTAGCGCCGCACCCTCCGCTCTTTCCGCTCTCTTCGTTCCTCCGCTGCCCCTTCCCGGCCAGTCGGGGCTGTGCCCGTGAGTCTTCTTCTCCTGCAGTCTGGAGGCTCCCAGTATGTTCAGCGCCGTCCGCCCTCAGAGGCAGCAGGTACGGCGGGCGCGGTCCGGGCCGGGGCCGTGCGGCCGCGCTTTGTTCGACGCTGGGGATCGGTGGAGGCGGCGGCCCAGGSGGGCGCTCCGCGCTTGGGCCACCGGCGCCCCTGCGTCTCCTCGGCACTTTGTTGCTTGCTCGGGGCCCGTTTTCTTGGGCCGCGGAGTTGCCCGCATGGCCTGAAGGGCGTGAGGCCGCTCCTCCGTGCCGGGAGAACGGGCGGGCCCCGCGGCCGGTGGTGCGGTGGATCCTCCGGCCGGGGATACCCGTGCTCCCCACGCCTTCGGGGGCGCTGCCAAGGTCAGGCGCTGCCTCTCCAAATGCCACGCTGCAGCCGCGGAGCGGCACCTTCTTAAACCTTTACCGTGAGTGGCGGGGGGAAAAGGGAGAACGGCGGGAATACCGCACTTGGGGAGGAAATAGCCACTCCGGGGTGAGCAACGCATGCTGACAGCCGGTTGCCAATGTCATGACCCTCCCTGTCATCTGTACCASTATTAGGAAGTGGGAGTTAATACAGCAAAAATAGTGGCTGTCAGCCCACATTAGTGCTTCTGGGGAAARCTGAATGAGGGTCAATGTCCAGAGCGGTTTGGTTTTGGTTCTGKTTTTTTTTTTAGTTATTTTTTGGGAGTGGCTGGGGAGGTGTACAGTATTTTCTGCCTGCGCACACCGATTTCTAGAGCTTTTTAGAATTTTTCGGAGATGCTTCAAGGTAGAAAATGTCTTTGCATTTGCACTTGTGTTCCTTCACCCAGCATTCCCACAGACAGTGAAACCTGAATTGATTATAATTTCATGCAGGGTAGAAAAAGTTTGGCAATGAGAGGCGAAGCATCCGAGTTATTTCCTAAGGAGAGGAGTGGTGATAGACTAATGGAAATATAGTCTCATGTCACTCCTTATTTGTGTGGTTTGTGAAGGGAGGACTTTTTTTGTTGTTTCCAGTGATGGGTGTGTAGACACCACATTTATTCTCTTCTGTCAGCGAGCTAGAAAATAAGAAAGCAAGCAGGATGTGGTGCTTTGATGTGAGATTGGTTTAATTTTAGAACGCGGATTTTGTAGCCACAAGCCTTACCCTTGGAKCACAGGATGCAACAGTCAGGGAATACTTTCCAGTTAGGAAGCTCTGTGTTAGCTGCTTTGGTAATTAGGTTTAATTTTGTTTTCCTCAGCTTGAGTTCTTAAGGAGCAGGAGGTAGTAAGAAAAGCAAAAACTGCCCAGAATGGGGGTGGAAGACAAGGAGGACACGCAAACAAAAATTACTAATTAGGTTGTGTGGCAGATGTTTGGAGAACTGTGGGAAGTGTGTGTTGATAGAAATAATAAACCCAAGGGCTGGGGAAAGGGGAGGAAAGAACTCAGGTTTTAGTAGAGTGGATGTGAGGCAGAAAGTTGAAAAAGATGTAGATAGAGACTGTGACAACAACAGCAAAAGTACAGCGTGGTAAAGGAGAGCAGAGGCAGGAGCAGTGTGGAGTTGGAACTGATGACCAGTGCTGGGACTCAGAAGCGTGGGAGGCCAGTGCTAAATGGGCAGCTGGGTGTTAGAGCTGAGGGTTGTCGCTGGAACAGCAGCAACATTCAAACATGAAGCCTGCTGCTTATAAATTTTTAAAGTCTGCATGCATAAATGTGTTTGGAAGAGCTCCCCAGGCTTGCTCTCCATAGAGGACGGTCCAAGTACTGCATCCTCTGGGGCTGCATGTAGGAGATTTTGGAAAATGTCCACAGTACTCTGTCCTTCCCTTTGAGTTCCTAACCAGTGATAAGCAAATACTTCCTCTTCCCTCCCTCTCTCCTCACTTGTTGGGATGGGAGCACAACTGAGGTTGAGGTGCAGTGAAAYAGACCAATTTTGTCTGCAAGTCATAGTTACCAGTGAGACTAAATCTTTAGTGGAAAGCAACTGAAAAGTGAATAAGCAAAACAGAATTGTTGTGAATTCTGAGTCTTTCTTTAGATCAGTGGTCTAAAGAGATTGAGCCGATCTAGTGGTGTAAAGTACATCAATAAATTTCTCAGTCTGTGGTGTTTTGTCCAAATGCAGACTTAGACATGAAAAGAGGATGTATTTTTACCATAAATAAGTGCTAATGCATGAAAGAAATAWTTTGAGGACGTTAGGTTTTATCTTCTGACTGCGAGCAGTCATAGTGTGTGACCTACATTTCTTCTGAGCTGGGCTGTCTATCACAAGCCAGAAAGCACTGGCTGGTTGTTAAATTCCATTTTTGTTTCATGAGTGTCAATCAAGTGTCTGTCATTATATCAGCAAGTATTGACTTCAAAAGATTTACAAGTAGCTCCTCCAAAGTCGTGCTTTACTTGTGAATTGAAGAACTAATACCCTAGTTTAACTAAAAMGTTTATGCAAAATTGGCACAGAGCAAATGGGCTGTATTAATCGGCTSTATTAAAGGTGAGAGATRCAATAGATTCTCCCTGTGTTGTTARGTCATGGGCAAGGTGACTTTTGCCTCTGGKGCTTGTTGTCTTGGTGGTCACCTGAGAGCACATCTCCTGCAAGAGACTCTGCAGGGGAGAGGCCTAGGGCAGCACTGAGGATTATTGTGTCTCAGTGGCATTGTTATTTAGGTGAGTCTTAAAYGTGCCTTTACATGGACGTGCAGTGAAATAAAGGAGTTTAAAAGGAGGAATCTTTTTTCTGGAAGTSAGGATGTGCAGCCAGCTCTGAGTGCATTATGAGCTGTGACTCTCGTGGTCCAGTGGTACACGTACATAACAGARGAGAATTTCAGTCTGTGCACAACGTGAGGTGTTCAGGAAACACAACATTGCAACAAGGTTGTATTTAAATGGAGTAACTGGGCAGACATTTGAGTCTTGGCATTTCCGTGCCTGGAACAGCCGGAACGCACCACGTGAATGTTCCATGGCTTCAGGCCTGTCCGAGCCCAGCGTGATCAGCTCTTGATCCAAGGGGTTCTCCAGCCCCAACACCAGTACCAGTCCTTACTGTTGAAACCTCAACAAAAATCCAGAGTTTACAGATTATTCTTATTTCTTTGCATCATTTTAAAAGTAAGCGCAGGGAATAGCTGCTCTTGAGTAGGAGTTTTTGCAAATCAAATGTATTGTTCCCTTTCTGGGATGATAATTGTGCAGCTTTAATGTGTTTAAAGAAGTACATTTGGATGGAGCTTGAACAGTCATGGTGTCAGAGGCGCCAGGCTTTACCTGGCTGACGGTGATGTGGGAACATTTCACATGTCTTAAAAAAATTCAAAATCCTGGATAATTATTAAAAAAGCCACAAAGTTCTTGATGTCCTCTGCTAAAAGGGAATATAAACAAGGGGGAGAAGATAATGACAAAGTGATTAAGATTGTTAAAAGTAATTTAAAGGAGTTTGTTTGCAGTACCTGTTTATAACCTTTAATGCAGAAAAGGCAGCGTTCTTGACTTTGCAGTGAATTTTGGCTGATASTTTGGCTTGTGTTCTAGCAGTAGTACTCCAAACCAAAATATGAAAAGTAGCGAATCTTCTTATGCTACTTAATGCTGTTTTGAGTAATAATATCAGCCATGACTCGCACAACAGCATTGAAACTGTGTGGCAGTAATTAAGATATTCAAATTCCTAGATATTCAGATTGGACAATACCATTAGGGCATAAATGCGTCTGTGTGGGGTCAGCGTCATGCACAAAGGAGGTCTTTAAAAGACAAATCTTCCATTTCAGTCCAGAACTATTTTGGATGACCTTCTTAGGTCTTCAAGGTCCCAGGCAAATACCTTGGGCAGACTTAAAGCATTTGAAATAAAACTGATGTCTTACAGCAGAATGTGGCAAAACATGCCCGGAGATGTAAACTGAGTGAGGCTAATTGTGGGATTTAGTTGGAATTGTTTKACTAGCTGTCCTGGAGCTTGAAATGTTTTGATTGTGGTGAATCTTTGGGGAAGATGCGGACATCAGGCTGTGGGATTCTGTTTTTGAGAAGTTTGCTTGCTTTAAAAATTGTTGGGATTATGGCAGTTGTTCCAGTGGGAGAAATGTTGCCTGCCAAATGCCTCATTAAACAATATTTGTTGAATAGAGCTTGGTGTCAGCTTCGTAACTTGGCAGTAGGATTACAAAACGAATATACCTTTATTTTGTGAGATGTCTTTTCCCAGCAAAACTCACTGGCATTGCAGTGTGTTGCAGGAAGTTGTGTCSTGGGGTGCTGCTCCTGCAGTACCCCATCATTCCGGGGTGTTTGGCTGTGCCTGCTCCAGCAGCCAAGCTCAGCCAGTGTTCACTCTCCCCACGCAGCTCTSTGCGGGCTGAATATTCTGTGCGCTGGGATGGATGGGAGCAGTGTCCCTGGAGCTGCTACATGGCAGGACAATGCCCCCTGCTGCTGCCGGGGATCAGCTCCTCCCGCTGCCGCTGCCAGGCTGCCCGGGTCCAGGCAGGTACTGCTCCTGCCAGAGACACCCCGGTGCTGAGCACTGCCGCCCACCAGGGTCACAAGGTGCTCTTCCCTGTAAGGGAGGGCACTTTTTGACAAGGAGAAATGAGCTGCACCTATTTTTAGGAAACCCAGTTCCCAATGTGGCATTTATTCTGTAGGTACAAATATAGTGTTGGAACTGAAGTGATTGATGTATCCCTGAGGTGGCATCAGGGTCGAGGAAAGTTCCAGAGGGMGTGTTTGTTGCCTGTTCCCTCTGCACTGCTGCTGCTCCTCCTCCTSTGCTCTCCTCCCCGGAAAATCGGGCATAAAGAGCCCACCAGCATGTGGATTCTCATCAAAGCCACTCCAATCTGCACTGCCAGTGCAGAGCTTGACCAGAACCCACCAGCGTCTGTTCACAGTGTGGCAGAGAAGACTTTTTACCAAGGARAGCTGTCATCCCCATAGTGGTTCCTGACTTTATAAATCTTTCTGGAAGTAACGGAGACTGGAGACATGCCCAGTCATTTCAGACATGTCCTTAATCCATCTTCAGACAATTTTAGGCATTCGGTAGAAGAAGGCTATAAGTAGATGAGCACAAGAAAAGCCAAAGGTAGGAGGCKTGTGGATTGGGTTCTTTCAGCAAATGTAGTTATTTTTGTTGTGTTACATGTGAGTTACCTACTTGTGCAGGCASTAAAAGGGTAATAGGACATGCTGAAGGGCAGAGGTGGTAAGGGATTGGCTAAAAATGGGATTCAGCTCTTCTGGCTCTTTCTCTAAGCACTAATTTAGCCCTTTTCTTGTCTCTGGGGGTATAATGATGATGTGGTTTGATCTCTTATTAAGCATGACAACATATTGGTGTCAATATGGAATTCTTCAGACTGTTTGCTTTTTGTGAAAAACCATTTGTTTGTGAAGAAAAACTTGTTTATTTGGGTCAGGAATATGAATCAAGTTTTACATTAAATACGTGGCAGCACGTATCTGTTGTCCTTACTTGATGTCTTCTCCTTTATTGCAGGTTATGATGCATGATTATCACAGAAGAAATTCATGTCTATAGCTCATAAGGACTTTATTACATCATCTTCAAGCCTGATAGTTTTGGAATCCATATTGCAGCTGCAAACACACGTCTGCTTTTGCATTTCAACAAACATCTKCCCTGTCAGGAGACGCCAAAACTCAAGTGCTCTGATCTACAACAGTGATACCATTGGACTATTTTAAATTTACATTCATATATTTGCTAGGTAAGTTGTGCCATTAAGCTTGTATACAGTACTTAATACTCCTGCTGAAATTATGGAAGTTTAAAATCTTTTTTAAAAATTGGATGTGCCAGTTTAGGGTTGAATACTTGCAGTAGTAAGTAAATTTAAAATAGATGTATTAACACTAGAATTTTTAGTGGGAGCCTTGCTATTTTTGTTACTGATTTTTGCAATTACTTTTCCTGGTTTGGGATTTTCTTACTTAGTGTGATATTCAGAATTTTCTTAAACTTGTGATGGAAATACAAATTGTTTCTATTAACATTAATAGAATTGCATATGTACTTTCCTCTTMAGATTTTTAAGGTAACTACTTCTGTGTAAGTTAGCAGCTCCTCAAGCTTAAAAAAAAATTTTTTAATTACTATTTCAAATTCATTAGGCTACTTCAGGGTAATAGTTTAGTATTCTTAATTAGCATCCTATTTGGAAAGTGGTTAACTAAAAAAGAATCAATTAAAAATCTATAAAATAGCTTCCAGATAAAAAAAGTTAAGTTTTCTGAAATTATTTTTCCAGTCTTGGACTGATTTCCCYAAGGTGGTATGTTTGTGTATGGCTGAGKTCTTCAGAGGAAGTTGTTCTAGCTTTGAGATKACTTAAAATACATGAYTGTTGTTCAGAAKTTATTCAATTCTGTCTGTTTTCTTGGTCATAATGTTCTTTTCATRACTTTCAGCTGCTCTAAAATACTGAGTCATTACTCATAGAAAATGTTTCTCTATTCTACTTCACTAGCTACTTTAAGTTCTCCATTCTCATTTGTCACTGTACCTGGTTTTGTGTCTGCAAAAAACGCAGCTGGACCAAGGTGATAGGGAGCAGAAAGTGGTGATGAATAATGATAGCTGGGGRGGGATCTACCAAATAAGATCTTTAGAGAGGGTTATCTGTGCCATCCGGTGGCTCCCAGCATGCTCCCCCAGAGCTGGCACAGGCTCAGCCTGTGGTTTTGAAGCTGGTGCCTGCAGAAGTGATGTGGGTGCATTAAAAGTTGTGGCCTCAATCCCTGAAAATCATTAATCCATTAATTCCCCCTGCCTGTTTGCAAACAGTGTGTTGATARTACTCTTGTAGTGAAGCAGAATGCCAGATGTGTAACTTTATCCATTGTGTGTGCAGTCAGGCCAACATCACAATGATTCCCAACGGATATTTGATGTTTGAGGATGAGAACTTCATTGAGTCGTCTGTTGCCAAACTCAACGCCTTACGGAAGAGTGGGCAGTTCTGCGATGTCCGCCTCCAGGTACCTGTGCCCTGCCCAGCCTAGATTGTGAAAATACAAAGGGATTTGCAAGAAATCCTCACCAGCATGCTTGCTTCTTGTTTGTGTTTCCATCAAGGTGTGTGGACACGAGATGTTGGCGCACCGGGCCGTGCTGGCATGCTGCAGTCCCTACCTGTTCGAAATCTTCAACACTGACAGTGACTGCCATGGCGTTTCCCATGTGAAATTCAATGATCTCAACCCAGAAGCTGTTGAAGTTCTGTTGAATTATGCCTATACTGCTCAGTAAGTGGTTCTCACAGTTATTAGAGAGAGGGTAAACTTCGATTTGAAAAATCAGAATAATAAAGATAAATTTYTKTCTTTAAAAGGTTAAAAGCTGATAAAGAGCTGGTGAAAGATGTATACTCTGCAGCAAAGAAGTTGAAGATGGAGAGGGTTAAGCAGGTACAGTTCTAAGCTCTTCTGAACGTCCATTCTGCCCTCTCAGGCTGACAGCATTGTGCCTTTTGGTGTTAGCTAAAATCTGATGATTCTGTGGATGAAGTGCTCAGCACAAAGCTGCTTAGATGTTCCTTAGCACTGTATTTATTGGATTCCAACTGCATGTGTTATTTCCATTTGAGTGCTCTTTGTGCCAGAGGGCTCTCTGAAGTCATTCTGTCTGTGTGCACCTGTGTAAAAAAAGCTTTGAACCATGGCTGATTGCTTACCATCAGGTGTGTGGCAGTGGTTCTGTGCTTGGGTGTGCTGGGGACATGAATAGACCTGTAAATTTGTCAGAAAAAAATCCACGCACTCCTAAGCATAAATTTGGTAGTCCTTCCCTTTGTAAATACTCTTAGCTGCAGGTGGGGATGTCCTTTATGAGGGAATTGGGATTATTAGCTCACCTGGCTGGGAAGTAACTTTGAACAGGTGTTCAGTAGAAAAGCGTGGGGTCAGTGTAGAATCATTAACTTCCAAATGTGTCTGACTTTCTCATTTAAGATGTKCATGTTCCTAATGTTCTCATTTAAGATGGGAAGGCAACATTCCCTTTACAGCACTGGCATGGGGATGGTGGCAGACAGTTACTGCTCTGCAGTTAGCAAACAGCTGCTGCTCTATGTTAGGATGGATAATTTGAATGTATAAAAGCTGTCTGCTGGTGCACGCCTGAGCTTCAGCTGTTCTCTTGCTAGGTTTGTGGTGACTATTTGCTCTCCAAGATGGACGTGCAGAGCTGCATCTCGTACCGGAACTTTGCCAGCTGCATGGGAGACTCTCGCTTGTTGAGCAAGATCGATAGCTACATTCAGGAACACCTTGTAGAGATTGCAGAGCAGGAGGAATTCCTCAAGCTGCCACGGTTAAAGGTTAGATTAAGTTTGTAGAATTTCTTCTGGTACAGGCTTTCCAAAAAGCAGCCTGAGGAGCAGCTAGGATTTCCTTCCCTTTTGGGGRAAGGCAAGCTTGGTGTACCGACTTCTGCCAACAGTGTGGCAGTTCTGGATCTGTGTAATACTCATACTGCTAGGAGCCTTAACTGTGGAGAGCACCTACTGCTACCCAATCCAATGTGCTTCCTAGTTCCGTAGGCTGAAAGCTCCTTGTGGGTGTTTTGTGCCTCTCTGGTAAAGTGGGAGTGGTGCTCACCATGTAAAATGCAGGGTGCTGCAAATACCAGGGTAATTCCCAGAGAGTAAATCATCCTTTTCTCTTCTCCCTCAAGCTTGAAATAATGCTGGAAGACAATGTTGGCCTACCCAGCAACGGCAAATTGTACACAAAGGTAATCAACTGGGTACAGCGCAGCATCTGGGAGAACGGAGGCAGCCTGGAAGATCTAATGGAGGAGGTTAGTTTTTAAGAAAATGGGATTATAGGAGTAAACATATTTTTATTTTGTATTAAAAACAAAAAAGCCAGTATGAAGGATGATCCCTTTTTACTTTTTACTTTTTTTTTTTATTTTTTCACTTTTTAACTATGACCCTAAAGAATTTAAATTTTGCTGTAGGTACCCCTAAGCTGAGAAACTGGGGGGGTGTTCAGGTGAGCTGAATGCACTGTTCAGTCTGGTCTTCGCTTTCCTTTTTGCTCCCTGTTGCTGTATAGTAGCCTCAGAGTGGCCTGTGTCTGCTTTAGTTTGGGGAGGTGGTACTGAGACTTGCCATAGATTGGTGATGTTTTCCTTTGCAGGTTTTGCTTGTAAATGCACCGTAGGTAAAAGCTTCTAATGGTTGTTCCTCCCCGTTGGTTTATCTCCCCATAGGTTTATTAACAAAACTAGGATACCAAGGCTGAAGAACCAAGAAGAGCCTCAAGGGTATTGACACGTACAGAAGCAGCAGTCCTGCCCCAGTGCTCCTAAGAAAATCCGCTGTGGGCAGAGAGCGATCATGATGATTTAATGGTGTTTACTTACTCCTTTACAGGATACATTATTATGAAACTTGTGTGTTGTTAAATGGCTTTACTCATGAATACTAATGGTAGATGTAGCCTGGGCAGTGTTTAATGACAAAATTAGTGGGGAGACAAAATTTTTAATTCAGCTTCAGCAAATGGACTTTACCAAATCTCATGAAACATTGAAATTTTCCAATAAGTCTGTTACTACGAGCACCAAAGATCCCCGGAAACACTTGTCTAGGCAAAAGTACATGTTGATGCTAGTACAAAAGTACATGTTCTCAAGTGTGTATTTCCTCTTGGAGAAGCTCATTTTAAAAGCTTTGATTGTGTTGAAATTAAGATGCATTTCATTGAAACAGCCGCATCTGATTTCAGTGGTGGACAACAGTTTCTTCCAGAACTTAAATTTGTGTTGTCTTCCCTCATTCCCATACCTTTCTTTTAGAGTCCACTGTTGGCTTCTCTTGGCCTTTTTTGATGGAGATAAATTTGTGTATTTTTCAAAGCAGAAAACTTGTGTGCCGGGTTGAGGAAAATGCTTGCATGAGACTGTGAATTTGTGTAACTCTGCAAATTAATGTGCCTTTTGCTTGTCTAATGTTTCTGTGCTGGAAAAACAGCAGAAGCCTGTGGAAAAYGAAGATTTCTCTCAAGCTGAGAAAGTAAGGAACCTTCAATCYATTTGAAGATGGCCACCATGACATCTGCTTCCTTTTAGTTTTGTCACTGTGCGAGCTYGAGATGAGCTGCTGAGCAGTGTGGTTGGTGCCTGGGGTAATGTGCCTGTAGCTGAGGAGCRTGGAGACAGCAGCCACATGGGTGTTCTGTTGTTGTTTTTGCAGGTGCAAACGCTGTACTACTCAGCTGATCACAAGCTGCTTGATGGAAATCTGCTAGATGGACAGGCTGAGGTGTATGGCAGTGATGATGACCACATTCAGTTTGTGCAGGTACAAATTGCAGACAGTCTCAGGTAACCCCAGGTAGACTGGAGCAGTTTACAGCACACCTGAAGTCCTGTGTCCTGCTGGCAGAGAAGGCAGCAGTAGCTGTAGTGGCAGGCTGCACCACGAGCAGGTGTCTGACTGGAAGCTGCTGCAGGCATGGAAAGAGGGTTCAGAAGTAAGAAAAATGCTCCTCGCAAATGCCCTGATTGTCACAGTGAGCTGAGCTAAGCAATGCAGCTCCTCTGTGTGAGGTTATCTGAGTTAGGTGATGTGTTTCAGAAGTCTTGTGACAGTTTCCATGGAGATCAGGCTCCAGGGAACAGTGCAAGCATCACAAACTTGGGACTGTGGTCATAAACTCTGCTGCTGAATAGAACAGACAGCACGTTAAGTTCCTAGGCTTCAGGAAAGGCCTGAACAGCCCAGGCAACAGTGCTGAAACTGGAAATTTGGTGGCTTTTTCTAACTGAGCAAAATAATGTAAGATCCATATAAATTTAATTGGAGATGAAAAGAAAGCAGAAATCTCCTGTTAGTGGGAAATATCCAGGGGAGTAAAATCCAAGAAAGCTAATCGGAGCACAGAGAGGAACTGAGGCGAAATTAATTTGTCTTCAGGGAATGAGGAGAATAGTTAATTCACTTACAAATAGCATTATATAATTAACTCAAGTTCCAGAAGCAGAGCTTGGGAGTGAAGTTCCTAGGTAGTAGCTCAGTTGTCTCCAGCTGCATGTAGCTCTTTCCTTACAGTTGTGAATCCTGCTAGGAATGCACACTGGGAGTTCTCAGTACAGCACCAGCAATAGAAAGCTGCAGTCACTGCAGGAAGTGAGTTCCAGGAGGAAAGTGTAGGGTGGTTTGTGGCCACTGTTGCTGGGCAGGCCAGAYGTTCTGCTGAGGATGTAGCTATGCTATAAATGCTGCTCTGCAGCGGTGGTAGGCGAGTGTGCTCTGGAGGAGCTACCTAATATCTTGGAGGCAGAGGTGGAAGGAGCGGTAGTCTCTGGTTAGGTTTCTGTAGCTGCCTTTTGATTTTGCAGAAGAGGCCACCACGTGAGAATGATCACAAGCAGATCATTAGCAGCTCCTCTGGAAGTTTTTCTCCAAATGCTACTGTTCAGAGTCCTAAACACGAGTGGAAAATCATTGCTTCAGAGAAGACGTCGAGTGAGTAAYGGGGGCAGGATTTGGCTAACAGATGTGCCTGGTCTTGGGTTCCTACCACCTCCTGCTCCCTGGGGATTCCCTTCACATCTCTGAGGAATGTAGAGGTGCTTTTTCTTACTGGTGATACAAATCAAGTAATTTCTGGGGCGATTCTGATGTACTTGGGCAGAATCGGGATCGTGTGCATCTCAGTTCCTTCTCACCCCAATCCCATGGTGTGTATCATTTACCCAGAAAGTCTTAAGGCGATAGGCAGTCCATGGTTTATTACCAGAGCTGGTAATTAATTGCTCTGTGTGTGTGAGGAGACTCTCCCAGCGCAGCTCTAGGTTGCTGTTTCATGTCCTTTGAGCACTTTTTTAGTATCTAAAGCACCATTTTCAGTAACTAACACTTCCTCTAACACTTGGAGCCAGTAAGCTGGACAGTGGAGTTTCCCTGCTGCCAAGGGGAGCAGCACAGCCAGCAGAGCCCATTTGGCAGCAGCTCGGTCCCCGCTCACCATGGCGGTGTCGTTCTCCACAGGTAACACGTACCTGTGCCTGGCTGTGCTGGACGGGGTGCTGTGCGTCATCTTCCTGCACGGCCGCAACAGCCCGCAGAGCTCGCCCTCGAGCACGCCACGCCTCCTCAAGAGCCTGAGCTTTGAGCTGCAGCCCAGCGACCTCATCGAGAGGCCCATGTGCCCCATGCAGTATGCGCGCTCRGGGCTGGGCACAGCCGAGCTGCACGGCAAGCTGATCGCTGCGGGTGAGGCACAAGGCTGGCGGGGGGCGCCGGGCCGGGGGCTGAGCTGGGGCTGACGGTGGGCTCGGCTGCCTCTCACCCACAGGTGGCTACAACAGGGAGGAGTGCCTGCGCACCGTGGAGTGCTAYGACCCCGAGAAGGACACATGGACGTTCATCGCGCCCATGAGGACGCCGAGGGCCCGGTTCCAGATGGCGGTGCTGATGGTGTGTGGGTGGGGAGCGGGCCTGTGGGCTGAGCATAGAAGGGCTCTAGGGGCTGTTCATTTGTAGTTCCATGTTTRTCCGAGTGCTCACGCTCTGAACGCAGCCTGCAGAGATGTGAAGGGTGTTGGTGTGTCTGTTCCTCTCAGGGACAGCTGTACGTGGTGGGTGGCTCCAACGGGCACTCGGATGACTTGAGCTGTGGAGAGATGTATGATCCTGAGATCGATGACTGGACCCCTGTGCCGGAGCTGCGGACCAACCGCTGCAATGCAGGTGAGGCCTCTGCAGCACCTGCACTGCAGAGTGGAAATCCAGCCCTTCCTTGGTTCACCGTCCTTTCCTGCATCAACAGGAGTGTGTGCCCTGAATGGAAAGCTCTACATCGCGGGTGGCTCTGATCCCTATGGCCAGAAGGGACTGAAGAACTGTGATGTGTTTGATCCCGTGACAAAGGCTTGGACAAGCTGTGCTCCCCTGAACATCCGTAAGTTTGTTGTGGAGCTGGGGAGGGAGGGGGAGAAAAGGGCGATTGCAGAACTGCTCCGACCCAAAACCCACACCAAACCAAAGCCTCCTGAGTCCCTGCTCTTGGTGGCTGACTGTGCTGGCTCTGGTTGCAGGGAGGCACCAGTCTGCCATGTGTGAGGTGGGCGGGTACCTGTACATCATCGGCGGGGCTGAGTCGTGGAACTGCCTCAACAGCGTGGAGCGCTACAACCCTGAGAACAACACATGGACCCTGATGGCGCCCATGAACGTGGCACGGCGCGGTGCTGGTGTGGCTGTCCGTGAGGGTAGGGCTGGAATGCTGCTGCTGCTGCTTGCCCAGGGGGCTTCCTCAACCTTCTGTTTGCTCTAATGGGAGGAGAGTACAAAGCTGGGCTYCTTTCAGGCTAAACCTCAGTTTTAGTTAAAAGCCTCTCAGTTGCGGGGCGTTCACCCCCACCTCTTTCTTTTCAAAGTGTCACTGTGCAGCTTCTAGAGCTGATGCAGTTTGAATTTGGACTTTGCACTTTGCCCTTGCTCTGACTCCAGTTCCAATCAGCTGGGAGGAGACCCAAAGCAGGTCATTCCTGTATGTGCAAACCTTGACCAGGCCGAAGTCTGTGCCAGCACCTGGGGTCCCTTTGGACTCTGTCCAGCTTCCTGGTGGGTCCACAGGGCTGGTTGGTGCTGAGCAGTGACCGTGGCTTCTCTCCTCCCCCAGGAAAGCTGTTTGTGGGCGGGGGCTTTGACGGCACGCATGCAGTAAACTGCGTGGAGATGTATGACCCCGCCAGGAACGAGTGGAAGATGATGGGCAGCATGACCACGCCCAGGAGCAACGCCGGCATCGTCACCGTGGCCAACACCATCTATGCAGTGGGGGGCTTCGATGGCAATGAGTTCCTGAACACGCTCGAGGTCTACAATCCAGAGTCAAATGAGTGGAGCCCCTACACCAAAATTTACAAGTTCTAAGTGAATTAAATTCCCTTTTCAAACTAACAGGCTTAGTGATGTAATTGTGTTTCAATAGAGGTACACCTGTGAATAGGGGTGGGGAGGGCATAGACGTTGCCAACAGCAACACYGAGCTTTTGCATATTGCATAATAATGTGTTGTATATATTTGTTTTGGAAAGAATATTGAGATGAAGGGTTTTTTGTGTATTTTAGAACTTTGTTTTAAGGTTTTGGTTTTGTTTTTGAGATTTTGACGATAACGCAAGAGAATCTAGACAGGGCATATCATTTCAGGAGCTTCCCCCAGTGTTTGTCACTTTGCACATTGGATGACTTCCTGGAGGTGTGTTCTTGGGGCTGGAAGGGTAAGGATTGTGGGGGATGATGGTTTTTTCTTTCATCAGGCCTTGGTTTCCTTCAGTAACTGGAACAATCTGTAACAAGAAGCCTTATTTAAATAGATATAATGGCTATTTTTTTTATTAAAAAAGCTGACATGTCTCTGCTAATACCTTATCTTTTACAATTGCCTTTTTATAACCGTTTTTATATACKCAGCAGAGTATTTTGTCTGTTGAAATGCAAGTGGCAGATAAATCATTAACAAAGAGACAACCTTGGAGTTCCGAGAGTCCGAGTAGGACAGTGGATTCCCCCAGCAGRTGAGCTCCTGCCTCTGCTGCAAGTGTGAGTTAGTCTACACCACCTTCCTTAGAGCTGTACAGGGTTCTGGACATGGCACAGCCGAGACCTTCTAGGGTGGGAAAGGGATTCTGGCTCCAGGTATTTTGAGAAGGCAGAGAGTACTTTCTGTACAGAAGTTTTGTTACTCTGGGTGAGCTGATCTTTGTACAACAACTCGGGGAGGGGGGGTTCTCATGGGTTTTCAACTCTTGCCAGCTGGCAGAGAAAATGTGTTGTAGTACCTGTTGTAAGTTTATTTTTCTAATATTACCAGCTGCAAGTGCGATAGAACACAAATAACTTGATTTTGTATGTGCTTATAGTCCTGTTTTAGTTCACTTTCTCTATTCCTATGATCAAACGTTGGGGTGGGATGACTTGGTGTCTAATGTGTAGTGCTGCACATCTAACTCTGGGTGCCAAAACTAGCACTGACTGCTTGCTGCTGCTGCAAACACATTAAAGGTACCTTTGGGAAACCCTCGCACAGCGGGCGTGCCCTCACCTGGCTCTGTGTCCKTTTCTTCAGGGAGGCGCTGGCCAAACAGTGTCCGTGATATTGAAGTGACATTTCGGAGGGGTGGAGGCACAGCATGGGCTGGGGTGAAGTGTCCCGTGTCCCCTTGTCCTCCGTGCAGTGGAGGGACCTGCACAGCACTTCATCCCCAGGGACTGGGCAGAGCCACTCAGAATTAACCACGGTTTAATGTAACAATAAATTACACTTTTACAATCAAGAGTTTACAAATACATCCAAAAGTTAATATCAAAATAGACGCTTTAGAACTTTGCTAGCTTTGTACAGGTCATCTCTGTACAAATACACAAAAGAGGTAGTGTCAAAGGCCTTAGAAAATGGCTTTTGGAAAGTTTCATGGACTTAAAGCAACCAACAGTGCAGGCAGAGAGAGATGTCACCTGCAGAGAGGRGAGGGCCAGGCCCACCTTGCAGGAGGATGTAGCTAGAGAAGGATGAGGCATTCCCCCAGAGCTCTGCTAGCTGGGTCACTGAAGACTGAGCAGGATTTTAACAAAGGAGGAACACTCCTTTCCTCTGAGCAGGGGTCTGGGACAAACACCTGCTGAGGGTGGGGTTCTGGTTTGTCATAAAGGAAGAATGAGCATCAGTCTGTTCAGTGGGTCAGTCCTTCATTCTCCTTGGGCCTTGCACTCAGCCATTTGCTGCCCTCCCGAGCCCCAAGGTGGCACAACAGATCCCTTTCTCTCACCTGTCCCTTGTACCAACAAAACAAACACAGGGGTGTCCTACACAGCCATCAACAGCTCAGCCTCTCCCGGGAACGATGCATGCTCYGGGCAGGCCGGCACAGCTGCTGCAYCCAAACCGGTTATCCGTGGCTACCCTCGCATTCTAGCAGTGAACAGAACTCTCAGCAGAAATCCCAGCATTTAAAGTCTACATGGAACTGCTTTTCCCTTCAAGCCAAACCAACACTGTCGAGGAAGAAAAGGCGGCAGGGTTTTGCTCCCCCGGCGTTTCCCTCTCATCCCCCGAGGAGGTGGAGCTTGCCCGGTCAGAGCCAGCCCCGGCTCTCAGCTTCTCTGTGCACCGACGCCTGGCACTGCTGCAGGGTCTGCTCCAGCTGGGCCAGCTGGCAGCAGCCCACTTCCAGCCTCTCCCTGCAAGACAGGGCAGAAGGGTTAGGGGGGCACAGCAGAACGGGAATATTTATCAACATCCCTTGTGTTTTCCAAAGGCCCTTTCCATCAAACCCAAGCAGCAGCCGAGGGTTTCACATGAGCTCCTTCCACCAGCCGAGCCCCAGCTGCCCCAGGCAGAACTCCTGTTCCCTTCTGGGGCAGGGAAAGGGGTCACTGCCATCCACTTTCTGGGGAGATCTGGGATTCTAGAAGGCTCAGTTCAAACCACCTTTCACACACTCACAGATACTGTATTCACACCCAAAAGAAGGCTCTGGACTACACCCCTTTATGGCTTAGACACTTTCAAAAGAGGAATCTCAACCTGCTCACATACAAATGTGCCTGAACTTCGGTTTCCAAAAGATTCTTTTTTAAAAACCCATGTAAAAGCTGCTTCTCAAAAAAGGATGAAAAACCCCCTCACTGAGTTGCCCAAGAGCAGCCTCCCCAGTACCTCTTGGACTACTGAACACAAATCTCCACCCAGTTTTCTTTATGCTGCATCCATATAGGTCTAGAGCCATCACCATTCTWAACTGGTTTTTATTACTGATACAAATTCTGAATGTCTCCCTCCCTGCACAACTCTGTCCCCTGGCCTTGCAGTGTGCACATTGAAGCTCAGAGAAGATTCAGGGACCCGGCATCAATCCAGGCAAAGGGAAGGTTTTAGAGTAATTCACCCTCCAGCCTTCCACTTAGCTGACCCTGGCCAGTGACAGCTCATTCATATGCACACAACAGCAAAAAACAGTTCCCTGCTCTTTATCAGCCAGCTCAGATTTATTAAAAACCCATGATGGCATTTTAGAAACCTCCCAGGGCTTGGATTCACAAACCCTCAGTGACACAAATCCATAAAGAAATGAGCCAGAAACCACTGGCAGTGGAAAGAGGCCCAACACCTCAACTCCAACAGCTGAAAATCACCACTGATGCCTCATCTCCAATTTCATGTCTGTCCTCTCCTGCTCTAAGGTAATCAGGCATTAAGAAAAATGGAATTAAAAAAATCCCCTATTCAATTCCCTTACAAATGGGGATTTTTTTATTGACCCCAATGATTCTTCTCACGGTACCTTGGTTCCTACAGGTGAAAAAGCTGCCTTAATCCCCCCTATGGGGTCAGTAAGTGGCTCACCTGTACAGCTYCTGTGACACACACTCGTACAGCTCCTCAGCACTGAACTTCAGGCTGTTATTGATCTGAAACAAGGAAGAATTCATAGAGTCATTTATCACTTAACACATGTCTGCCACAATTACACAGCAGGAACAGCAGACACAGCTCATGTGTTCCCTAACAGGCTCTCAAGTTGAGACAGTGCATTAAAAGAAGTAATCCTTTCTCTTAGAATAAAATCTAATWTTTCAACTTCCAGCTCCATTTTCTAACCACTTCTGCACAAATCTAAAAGACCTTCAATAACTCTTCCTCCCCTCTTAAGCTACCCAATAGTTTTATTTATATATATACATATAAATATATTTGTGTATTTCAAATAAGCTCTGACTTCCAGCAATTTCAAAAATATATATGAAAGGCCCAAACCCCAAATATTCTCTGCATAGCAGAGCACTACAAGCCTGAAATACTCTAGAAAAACCATTCAACAGCAAGWCATTCACACCAAGTGAGAGCTCAGAAAATCACACAACTCAAATGCCAGTAGAAATCCAAATAAATTTGGCAAACACCAACCAAAAATCTATGTTCACCAGCTACTAAGTCAGAGCAAAGAATCAAAATTCTTAGTGGAAACACAGTGATGAGACATAAACCTCAGAACTACTTGAAATAAAAGCTGCAGGTGAAGTGACCAAATGCTAAAGGAAATGCCATACCTCATGTCTTCTGAGGAAATTATAGAGGGTCCAAATATCTTGGAAACTGCYGGTTGGGGTCAAAACTCTGAAAAAGTTTGGGGATTTTTTTTTTAAAGCAAGTAGAAAGGGATTCTATGAAAGAGTTAAAAAATAAGCCAGAAATATTCAAGAGAAAGCAAATTACTTGAACAAAAAAGAAATTACGAACTTCGAAGAATTTTCCCTTGCTTTAATGAAGGAAGCACCTCAATGGACAGCCCTTCCCACAAGGCTCCACAACTGATCCAGTGAGGAAGGTGGTTTTTAACMAAATTAATTATCCTCATCTATTTAGGTAGATACAATTCAGCTCCACCTCAGTGCAAACTTCATTTGCATTCACCACGAMAAGCAGAACCCTTCTAAATGCTGCAAAAGGTACCTTCAAATCAACATTAAAACACAAGTAGCAGTATACTTATATTAAGAAACACGGATAAAATTCTCGTTTTTAAGTCTTATATAGTTCAAAAATGATTGAGATAATGACTGGAGTTGGAAAAAKAAAAAATCTTTTGAGGAAAGTTCTATTCACTTTCCCACGGGAAAGTGCCCAAATTCTCTTYTCCCTCCTCTTGCAAGCTGTAAGCCTTTATAAATGAATTAATTAGGAATTGAAAAAAACAGAAAAGTAACAGAACAARTTAAAAAATCCCAGTCAAAAGACGCTGTATTTGAAGCAGGCTAGAAGACCATGACACAGCACAGATTTAYTGTAACTGCAGTGTCCACTGCTTTTTCCCATCCTTGTCCATAGGAATTATCACCAAAAATTAGTCACACATTCTTCCCCGCCCCCATCCRAAGAAGCAGAACCCAAAATCTTTGCCATAAACCTGCCAACTCTGAGTCAGGAGGGAACCAGAGCTGGCTGCTCTGCCCAAAAATTGTTGGGAGTCTTCCCTGGCACCTCTCGTCTTTGACTGCAGAAAATCCCGGCAGGGAGAAGCTGCCAACAACCCTCTCTAGAAACACTGGGATCCTGGCAGCTGGAACTGCACAGCAGATCCCATTCCCATCTCCCAGC